CATTGGAAAGTCAACTGGATACCGGTAAATACAAATACAAATTTGCTTGCCCGACGGAAAAAAATACTGGACTCGGACGTCGGGCAATGGGTTATTTCCACCCCTGGATTTGGTTGGTATTGATGATTTAGAACACTATTACAGTATAACATAAATATTCTGATTCTGATGTGATCATTTTATATTACTACATAAAATTACTTGACATGAACAGTACCAATCATTCAAGTACTGTCCATGTAGTCATCGGAGTCACTAATCAAGCCAGTTCCTCAGATGAAATCTCTGTTCTTCCACAGAAAATATTCACATTCACTGGGTGCAAGTTGGTTTAAATATGAGGTTGCATTTTACAGTTTCAGGATACACCAGTGCAAGCCATAATACAGGAAGTGATAATATGTATCACAATATTACTCAGATCTGTGCTAATGATATATGAAATACATCACATACTGTGCAAAACATGACGGTCAAGTTGATACAAGCATTGCTGAATCTTTCCATACAGTTTGTGAGTGAGAGTTACTTAACACTAACAGCACAATAAAAAATATGCTTGATACATAACAAGAAGCTTTACATTGGGCTGGTGAGTGAGTGAGTGAGTGAGTGAGTGAGTGAGTGAGTGAGTGAGTGAGTGAGTGAGTGAGTGAGTGAGTGAGTGAGTGAGTGAGTGAGTGAGTGAGTGAGTGAGTGAGTGAGTGAGTGAGTGAGTGAGTGAGTGAGTGAGTGAGTGAGTGAGTGAGGTTTTACGTCACTTTTAGCAATATTCCAGCAATATCACGGTGGGGGAACACCAGAAATGTGCTTCATATATTGTAACCATGTGGGGAATCGAACCCGGGTTTGCAGCATGACGAGTGGGCGCTTTAAGTTCAAAACCATTAGGCTATCCCACCATCTCACATGTAAAGCTCCAAACTCCCAGTCACTGATTCACTCACATATTCAGTGTTCAAACTATATCCCTTCATGAATTCAATTTGATGTTGCCATTAGAATCAAACATTCATTAATTTTAAGGATAGTTCACAGAGAGAGAGTGAGTGAGTTCAGTTTTACGCCACGTTTAGCAATATTCCAGCAATATCACGGCAGGAGACAGCAGAAATGGGCTTCACACATTGTACCCATGTAGGTCATCGAACCCGGGTCTTCAGCATGACGAGCGAACACTTTAACCACTAAACCGCCCCAGTTTTATACTTGAATTTGGGCATTATTTATCAAAACAAGAAATACAAATTAGGATATAAATATCACTAAATATTATGAATAATAATACAGAACAATGACTCATTCTTGAATTCGTTCCCATATATTCAGGCTATGTATCACATTCACCCCCTAGTGGATTTGTTACACCCCTATAAATCACAATGTAAGTCGTATGTCATATATATCGTAGAAATTAGAATGTCAATACAAGTCTATCACATATGGCTAATCTAGATTGTGGTGGTTTCAGTTTCTGAAAAGGAGGAAAGTCTCTTGGCTCCATTTTTATTACATTTGAGTCAATTTAAGAACTGTTTCTCTGTAAAAAGATTGGAACTAACAGAAAACATAAACAATAAACATTTTAGTTTTGTTCATACAGGACTGGTTACACACTCCGATGACTCATGTACGTAGGATTCTTTCTGGACTAGCTTTAGAAAGAGAGAGGTTGAAAGTTGCTGTTGAGGAACTATTACTTTCTGAAACCATCATGAGGTCTAATGGTTCAAAAATGGCTGACAAAACTCACCTAAGACCAAGAACATGATTCTAAAAAGTGTTCTTGATAAATACTACACTAACCCATTTACTGATTTAGCGTAAGGTATTCAGATTTCTTGATAATATTAATAAAATGTTGATGGTTCAATTTCTACACAAATTGAAACTGAAACCATCTAACAGCATGAAATGTGTCAGCAAAACATGACACAAACCATGTTTACACACTAATTTCCTTTACAAGCCCAGTAGCAAAGTCTCATGTATGACTGAACGACCTGTCATATAATTTGTAAACATGTATTCAACACCTAATGAACTATTTCTTCCTTGCTCTGTGGACCAGTGTATCATGGTCTATACATGAATCAAAGGGACAATGGATAGAATTTTTATCACAACTTGTTAAAAATTTGTATAATCCTTTCAGAAATAAAAATGAAAATTCATTAACAACACACCCTGGACTGATTGACACGTCTTTGGTGAAACATACACCTACATATATTGTCGAAACCTGTCAGGTGTGTATAACTATCGTACATCAACATCTGAATGTATATTTCACTGAGGCATGTAATACTGGTGTATATACGCCATTCATGTGGAAATGCAATACATAACTTGATATTCAAGCAGCCACAATAAACATAATATACATGCAATAGACAAGCGCTCCTTTCAACAGCCCTACATTTTCAGTGGGGTCAGTGAAGAAGACCTATGAGCACACATATGTTGGTTGTGAGATATTGTTCAAGTCGAGTTTCACACCTGTGGTAACTTATACACAAACAGCTAACTCAAATTACTTCCTAAGACTTTGGAAATACCAAGACAAATATTCAACTCGGGAAGTCACAGTTAATCTGGACTTAACTGACCAAAATGTAAATTTTCTTTACCAATGCTTAGATATTATTAGTTTTAAAAACAAATAACAATAAAAAAACAACAACAAAAACCAACAACGAGAGCTATATTCCATCTTGCATGGCGAGATTAGAAAGATATTCTTATCTGATTAAAACCTAGATTTTCTCTACCAATGCTTAGATATTAATAGTTTTAAAACAAAATTAATAGCTTTAAAAACAGATAACAAAAAAAAAAAAACCTATTAAGAAAGATGTTCCCTGGACCTTGATGCAGTAGAAAGAATGTTAGTTTTTGTGATTGATATGTCGTGACCCATGAGGCTGAAATGGAGATCATCAGTAAGTACTTATTATTTAATGCTTGAACAGCTCTGCACATTTCTATCTGAATGAAAATATGTACAAGGTTTTACAGAAAAATTAAACTTAAGCATTGTTTATCACTTGTTTTTAGTTATCTCGATCACTGTATTGTTTGATCATATGGTCATTTCTAGGATATTTTCTTAGGCCTGTATTGAAAAAAGAAATTTCATCAGTTTTCAAAAATGAATTTTGGCTTAATAACATTCCAATTTCATTACCAAAACTATGTATGACAATGACTGACAAAAGTTTGACAGCAAGAATTACCTTGACTGAGATAAATGATGTAATTCAAATCCTAGGGAACTTAGCAATTAAACACCTTATATGAACTAGTTCATAAACCAATGTGACAAGTAATGAAACAAAAGATTTGACAAGCGATATTAAATACATATTTGAAACACTTTTGTCTCAACCTTAATCTGAAATATTACAAAAGGTAATGTACAATATTTTTTATTGAGAAGATCCCTGTAGCATATGATACATAAAATTAATTAACAAATTTATCATATCTATTATTTTGAATGTTATTGAATGCATGACTAATAACAATGTGAGGCAGTACCAACTAATGCTTGAGTGATCAATGGCTGAATCTTAATCAATAAACATACAATAAACAATATGGTTTTTTCTAATTGTGCCTCTCTGGCACCAGAAAATCATTTAAAAGGTGTTTTTACCATATTAACTGTGCCTTTTTCTCTTCTAAGCAAGCTGATGCAAAATTCAATTGTGTCTTGTATATCATTGTTTCAGGCTTATATGATATGTCAGTGTGTATAAGAAAGAATGCACACTGCTCTTTCCTGTATAAACAATGGAGTTATTATCCAGTGTTCACGAATAGTGCCTGACCCTCTGACAAATCTGGCAGATTCGCCAATGGTCCGATAGAACTGTACAACCCGCCGGCCCCAGTGTCTGACTGTGTATTTCACAATGACTTTGACTGAAGTTGTTATATGTGACATGTGACACTTGTTTGCTGTTTATAAATCTTATGTTTGTTAATAATTTCAATGCCAATTATAAGAAATGTTCAATCTGTAATGTGTGTTTAATTTTATTCTATGGGTCCTGTGAATTTTCAATGGGTCAGACCGACATCTGAAACTTACAGGACCCAATGTCCTGTTACTTTGAAACACCATTCGTGAACACTGTTATCACAAAGTAGATTCCCGAAGCTGTGGCGATGGTTGTGTTACCATGACACCTTTAACTCAGTATTGGGTAAACAGGAAATTTCAATTTCCTTACGCTTGTAAATACATTGACACTGGTGTGAATTCAATCAAGACTTATGTACATCTAATTATCTGTAATGAACATGCAACTTTATTGTGCTATCTCAACCTTGATATACACAAATAAGGTGTCAATTCAATCCTCTGCAATCAACATGCAATATACAAAACTCTGGACTGTCAACCACAAGAGGACTCAGAAATGCTAAACGTTTGGTGCACTGCGTGTTGTGTTACCAACATGCAACATGACTTAGCATCTTATCAAATGTATGTTACCCAAATTTAGCTATCAGGAATGCTACAAGTTCAATCATAAGTTATAGTAAATGAAGACTCGACTCCTGTAGTGATTGTTCATGAATAGCTCCTCCATTTTCAGCAATGTTAACTGTCCTATAGCCTTAGGGCAAGTTCAGCTTCAAACCAATCAGACCCATTAGGATAGCCTAGCAACCTACTGACTCAAAAGTATGGCTGTGTAAAGCTTTCAAGTATGTTAAAATGACTTTAAATTAGAATTCATCATTTTTGGGGCAGTAAATGCTCAAAACTCAGAGATGATGTCACCGTGATCCATGTATCTACAAGGCCCTTTAAATAGTCTTAACAAGAACTTATGGTGTGATCATATTGACATTTGGAAGTTCACTGAGTCAAAAAGGACCAGTAAACACCCTACAGCGAGGAGTGTTCCTAAAGTTGTCGTCTCAGAACATTTCAACGCTTATGACAGCTGACCTTTGACCTGAGTTGCATGCATTTGACATCTTACCTTGTAAACTTGGCCATAAGTACCGTTTCCAACCACTTCAATCAAATCAAATATCCCCGCAGGCTCCTGAAACATTACAAATGATAGAATAGTAAAACTTCAAGAAAATTCCACACTTTGAATCAACATCGTGACCATGAGTGACTTGAACCGATCCCTTTTTATTCTTTGTTTTGACTAGGAGAGATGCACGATGTACGAAAATGATGGCAAAACATTTCTGTCTGGACGGTATCTTGTCAAACTAATTCGCATTTGACCCCGTGGTTTGTTAGATTCGTGGTTCAGAATAAATACAGACAAGCTTGGATTAAATCAGACAGCATACATACCCGTAAACTAGTAAGATCTATGTCGTCCAAACTGACATTTACTGACGATGTGGTCGCCATTTTGGACTCGCAATGAGCATGAGAACTCGGTTTCCTCTCTGTCTCGAGCGGTATATCCCTCACAATATGGCTCCACGCACCGGAAAGTTCCTAGAAACAAACAATCAACTACACATACTTCGACTACAGTCAATTGCAATGATGCTTCTCTGTTAATAATCCGTTAATTCGAGAAGGAAACACACATATCAAGATATATTTGGCGTATACACTCAGCTGAGAGTGCGGCGCAATGCATGCTGGGACATTGATCAGACGAGAGTTGGGCTGTCTTCCTGACTCATACCGGCTCGAGCTGTTATACTGTGCAGTTCCCATCCTTTCTTCGTGTAAATATGTACAGAAAGTTATTGAACATCGATATTGTAACAGACGTATAACGTTCAAATTGGTTGTTAATTGGTATTAAGCAAATAAACAGATTAAAGTTTAGTAGCAGATTCATGGAAGATTTGATCTTTCAGGTTAACTCAAGGCTGTGTAAACTGTGCCCGGTCCTAAACTCTTCTTCATGTACAAGTATGGTGACTTCATTACTGCTACTACTCGTACTACTACTACCTCCTACTACTACTACTACACTATCAATGTATTCAAAAGTCCGTATGTTTATTGCATTTTAGTGTAAAGTCACCCCACGATAATGATTTTATCATCCAAAACTGTGTTCCACAGGAGATATCGCTTGTGTGAGATCAAACAATATCTCCTAGGAGATATCGTTTTGACAGTAGATTTTGTACAATGCCCTGACAATGCTATGATGTCATGTACTTGATGACGTCACAATGCTATGACATCGCTGCACTGCAAGTCTAATGGCAGTACCATGTTCAGAGATGTACATTTTTCATTGAAAATTAATGAAGAGTGATTTTCGATGATAAATAGAATCTCACCCTCGTGTCTTCTGATATCAAATATATCAACACTCGTTGATAAAGTAAAAATATCCTCGGCAAGCCTTCGATATTTGTAACTTTATCAACTCGTGTTGATATAATTGATATCAAAAGACACTTGGGTGAGATTCTCTATTTATCATCCCAGTTTCATAGAAGATTTTGCTTGTGTGAGATCATACGATATCTCCCAGGAGATATCGTTTTGACAGTAGATTTTGTACAATGCCCTGACAGTGCTACGACGTCATGAACTTGATGACGTCACAATGTTATGACATCGCTGCACTTCTAGTCTAATGGTAGTACAGTGCTCAGAGATGTACATTTTTCATTGAAAACTAATGAAGAGGGATTTTGATGATAAATATAGAATCTCACCCTTGTGTCTACTGATCTCAATTATATCAACACTCGTTGATAAAGGTAAAAATATCCTCGGCAAGCCTTCGATATTTGTAACTTTATCAACTCGTGTTTATATATTTGATATCTGTAGACACTTGGGTGAGATTCTCTGTATATTCTCCAGACAAGCACCTGAATATTTTCAGGATGACGTCACAGAATAAATGATGACGTCATAGTAAGAAATTGAAGTAAAACTTGCGCAGTTTTCATGCACATGGGTGCGACAGGATATGTAACTGATTGCTTCCAGCGTTTAAGCTTATACTTTTATTGCCACCAGAGAGGGGCAAGCTAGAGACACCCAACACCAAAACGTCAAAGTATAAAGAATCAAAATGAAGAAATAAAAAACTTTTCTATCTGAAATTGTTAGAAATAAATGAATGCCCGACAGGATGTGTCATGTCGTCCACTTTCGTTCGTTCTGCTAATAGAATTAGCAGTATTTTACCACCGCTTCAGTCATTAAAACTTTTTGCCACACGAGCATATTTTCACCGTTGTATTATATTCTCAGAAATAATATGCACGTTATTTTCTTCCTTCTGCATATTGTAGAGACAGGACATTTCATATTGTTCGTGAATTCATAATGTGCATAAAGCGGCACCAATGAGTATCAACCCTGTGGGTTATGCTTCGTAAGCGTTGAGATCGTTTCCGTGTAACGCCGACACCAAATGCCTGATTAAATAATGGATTATCGAATTACATGAATTGAACAGTGTTTTTCTTTCTTTTAACAACGCTTTCAGTAATATTCCGAGTAATAAGTCGATCCTGAGCTGAGCATAACCTAGTGATTGATATCGCGAGCAACAGTCCACGCCGTCAGCGTACAGGTCATCATGACCCATCGATCTAAAGATACCTTAATTCTTACCCAGGCTTTCACTGACTTCATGGACGTTTCCCATATCTCTGGCTACAGAACCCGTGAAGATCCGGGTTAGAATTGATCTTCAGTGACCTATGCTTGTCGTAAGAAGCGACTAACGGGATCGGGTGGTCAGGCTCGCTGACTTGGTTGACACATGTAATTGCGTAGATCGATGCTCATGCTGTTGATCAATGGAATGTCTGGTCCAGACTCGATTATTTACAGACCACCGCCATATAGCAGGAATATTGCTGAGTGCGGCGTAAAACTAAACTCACTCACTCACTCTGGCTACAGCCAGGAAACACCACAGTCAGGGGTTTTATGTACAACTGATTGAGACCCATGTCCAATATTTAAAGTTGAAACATCCATTGTTGACATAGATACCACGATGTACTATAGGTAGTTTCGATCGACGTCACAAAATGAAAAACTACGTACATCAGTCTGACATTTGTTTTAATCATATATTTTATAGTGTCCTACATATAAGTGTCCAAGGGCGGTCGTGTAGCCTAGTGGTTAAAGCGTTCATGCTGAAGACCCGGGTTCGAATCCCCACATGGGTACACTGTGTGAAGCCTATTTCTGGTGTCCGATGTGATATTGCTGGAATATTGATAAAAGTGGCGTAAAACCATACCCAAAAATAAGTGTACATCCATACGTTACAAGACTTCAATATCACATTCAATTCCCCGACCTCCCAGTGTTTTCGTTTATCGTTTGATTCCGCAGTTAGCAGTATTACATTTACATCACAACCACCTGTAAATAACCGAAGCTGGACCAGACAAACCAGTGATTGATATTATGAGGGACGTCCCACGACGCTGGGTTACGATGACCGGAAGTCATCTATGTCACCGAACCCGATTGTAAACATCGGTTTTGCCTCTTCTTTCGACAATCCCCGTGAAGATCCGGGTTGGAACGTCTTCGGCAAGCAATACTTGTAAGAATCTTGCTGACTTGGTTGATGAACCGGTGATCAATGCGCGTGCTGTCAATCATTGGATTGACTGGTCCAGACTCGAGTATTTACAGACCGCCGTATAATGTAGCTGGAATATTGCTGAGTGCGGCGTTAAACAAACAATCAGACAAACAGATCTTCCGACATGCACATAATGTTCGCCCCAGCTACTCTGTATCAATCCGTGTGAATGAGCATCGATCCCAGTAACACTCTCCTACCCAGAGTTCCTTGCGGCCTACAATGTATACATGTGGATGTGACGCGATGATTCGCACATGAGGTCTAGACACATCTAACAATCCTACACCCAAGGTCTTGGATGACATGCTTCAGAAGGTGCATTTCTGACACTACAAATCAGCCAGTGTGACCAACTGAAAAGAATGACACTACGGCCTGTCATTTTCACACTGGACCAAACATGCAGCATACTGTCATTGCTGTGCGTTTTTCTGGACGCGTATCACCCTAAAACGCATATCCTTCAAAACGCAAAACTCCAAAAATTCAGAATACAATTTGATTGTCATTACATAATACATGCTGGTTACGCCCAATTAACACCCGCTTTTGCAGAGAAGGTATTAACCCATACGTTTTGTAAAATAATTGAAAAACAAGAAGAAAAAATAGCGATGAAAAAGTTCGCCCTTTATTTACACAAATTCAGAAACTGAACTGGAGTGTCCCAGAAATGTCATTTCTATCAATGCTATCTGTTGGAAGATGTCTTCGTAATACGGCTTTTTCATTTCAAGTTTGAGTTTTTAAGGAGGCATTTGTATGCCCCCGACAAAGTAGGGAGAGGAATTATATGGACCGGAAATCGTCCATTCATGTTTTTCAACTGAGTGTTTAATGAATGAATGGGACAGAATTTTTTCAAAAACAATTGAAGTTGAATATCTGTGAGAAACGCATCAAAACTTAGTTCGAAAATTGGTGCTATAACTTTTGTTCAAGAGTATTGTGTCATAAAATACAAGAGGAGAGCAATCAATTTAAGTGTAATTTGGAAGCTTTCAAAAGTTAACTTTTTGAAGCAACAATAAAATCATGGGCTTAATTCAATAATTTTACATTATTCGTTGAAGAGTCAATCTGATAGAAATACTTGTTATTTCTGATCTGAATATAACTGGATCAAATTAAGGGAAAACAGCGCCAATTACAAATTGTATCTTTGTTGCGCCAGTTAGAGGAAATTAGTTCTGTATAAATCCAGACATGGCTGGTTCCTCTCACGGCCAGGTAAATTGTTCTTTTCAGAGCAACAACATTTACAATTTCAAGTTTTTTTAATTGTTTTTAGGACAGTTTCCCATATATGAGCAGCAATAAAAAAGTGGCAACATGTAGGATTTATACAGAAGTTCTGAAGATTTCCGTCTATATTTAAAACTACGATGACAGTTTACTAAATGACTTGCTTCCTTGATAAGGTGTCTTCAATATGCAACTCCCAGCTTCAGTCTTCTTGTGGGATAACGCCTAAATGTTTGTGAGAGTCAGCTTCGGCAATTTCTTCTGCCTGTATTTTAAACTAGGTAATGCGTACGGATTGGCTTTGCGAGATATCAATACGGTTTCAGCTTTCATTGGGTTAAATTTACTTGCCAAACTTCTGCCTGCTTTGAGATTTGTTCAAGGTCATTATAAATAACACAGGCAACTTCATGGTTATCTACAGTGGCATACGCTGAAGTATCGTCTGCCAACAGACGAACATTGCTAGTATTGCCATCAAGACCAATGGATCATCGTTTGAGGAAGTTGGTAGAACGTGCCAAATGTCCTGTGTTTAATGCTTTCACCATCTTTGTTTGGTTAGATTCCATGTTTATCTTTGACAACCTCTAGCGCGTGATAATTAGATGAACTTGACAGCGATGATGAAAATTCACGTTAATATAGTTTCCCAATGGTAAATAATAATAACAATAATAATAATAATATCACCCGAACCCTCTCTGCTGCATATTATCTTTAATCTGTAAAACATAATAATAATAGCCAACAAACCTGATCTTGTCCTTTTTGATAAAGCCAATGAATTTATTTATAT